CGTTTTTAGGAGCTCAGCCTCTGGGCCTGAATCTGGCCCTGGCCCTAGAAGCATGTACCTGGCCACAAAACGGACAACAGTACACCCGTTAGAAAAACAGCAGCAAATAAATAAAATAAAGATTATAAAAATAATCTAAAGCTGGCGTTTTTCTGATGCAGGCCCAAGTAAAAATGCCATAGGGCCTTCAGGTTGCGGTGACGCAACCTGGGGGCCCTATTCCAACCTCGGGTCCCGTGAGGGGTTGTAGGCTTTCAGCATGTAACACCTACCGAGGACCCTGATCCTCGCATTCCCTCCTCCTTTACTTCGTAAGTCCTCTGAGAAGTCTCTCATTCTGCAGGCATCTTCCCCTTGAGTGCTCTTTCATAGCTTGCGATTACTTGAGGTGCTGTTCTCATGAGTTCTTCTCGTGTGAACCACCGATCTTCTTTCGGATCCAGATGATGTCTGAAGCTCACACGATACTGCATTCTCGGCTTAGGAGGTCACCCTCTGCCTGATGGTCGAGGAACAGGCATCACTCGATGCTCGACGATCTGGTCAATGTCCACTTCGCCATCCATGGTTGGGGGCAACATTGATCTTCTGGAAGGGAACTGCTCAGTAGCAGCATAGGGTGCTAACTTAGATACATGGAACACAAGGTCTGCACGCACGTGAGGTGGGATGCAGATTACATATGAAGGACCGTCTGGTTGATCTCCTACAATCTCTAAGATCTCCCAGGGCCCAAAGAACTGTGGCATTAGCTTGCGGGATATACCTAACTCCTGACCAAGCTCAGCAGCCTTAATCCAGACTCTCTCGCCTACCTGAAAGTTAGAGGGCCGTCTATGTTTATTCTCAGATGCAATCATTGCCTCTTGAGACTTCCTAATGTGTTCAACGGCCTGCTGCAGCATCTGTTCGTACTTGACAGCAAACTCTATGCTGCCGGGTGCTGCAGTGGGTTCTCTTTCTGGTAACAGAAAGTCTAAGGCGGTACGGGGCTTCCAACCAAGATGCAGTTGGTTAGGGGTCATGCCGGTAGTACTATGCACAACATTGTTGTACAGGCTGGCAACGAGAGGTAGTTTCTCGTCCCAGTCGTCCTGACTTGGCTTGATATAGTGCCTAAGCAACTGTTGTACTACTCGGTTCATTTGTTCTGCTTGCCCATTTGACTCAGGATGATTTCCTGAAGTCATTTGGAGTTTTGTGCCCATTTGTTCAGCAGTAGACTGCCACAGTTCACTTGTGAATCTGACATCCCTGTCACTAACAATAGACGTAGGTAGACCGAAGTCTCTTACCCAGTTATCCATGAAAAGTTTGATGACAAAGTCAGTTTTAGCAGTTTCAGGCATAGCGATTAGTCTGGCATACTTGGTGAAACGGTCCACTATGACAAAGATGTGTCTCTTTCCTGTCCTGCTGGTCACAAGGGTATCCATGAAATCCATGGACACACTCTGGCCTGGTCCTTCAGGGATCGGCAAGGGTTTGATTAACCCAAGCGGAGCCTGAGTCCTTGGTTTGTCCCTTGACAAACCTGGCAGGTTTCAACATAACGTTTTGCATCTTCTAACATAGAAGGCCACCAAAATCTTTGCACTAAGTTCGCTGATGTCTTTCTATAGCCAAAATGACCAGTTGCGTCATGACATTCTCCTAAAAATAAACTACGCAAAGACTCACTATTAGCGACACATAGTCTTTTATTCCCTGCCTTCTCAAGGAACAGCAAGCCATTTACCATCGTAAATTCATCCAAAGTTTTCTTGTCCTTTGCTTGGAATCTACGAATGATTTCTGACATGACTGGGTCTCCCTGATAGGCTTCCACCATCGATCGAGTGAGTTCGTCAGATATGCCAAACTCGGTAACTAGCGCGCCCAAATAATCTGCCCTTCTTGATAGCGCATCAACCACCTTGTTGTACGTACTCTTGATAGGATCAAGTTGATAGTCATACATGTCTATCACTGGAATCCATCTCTTGAGTGCGTCTGACAACACAGGTTGTGTCTTAATCCACCGCAAAGTCTCATGGTCAGACCTCACATAGAAGAATCTTTCTAGGAGGTAGTGTCTCCAATGGACTAGCGCTCTGTATAGGGCGTAGAGCTCTCTCTCATACGTGGACTCAGCTAACTTTTGAGATGGCATCTTCTTGCTCATATACTCGATCGGTCTCAACTTGGGCCCTTCCTGTTGCGCAAGGACCGCGCCTATGCCATATTGGCTGGCGTCCGTGGTCACAACAAATGGCTTGTCAGGATCAGGAAGTTTGAGAACTTCATAGTGTGTTAGAGCATACTTCAATTTCTTGAAGCTTGCCTCACACTCTTCAGTCCACTCCCAAGGGGTGTCAAGTCGAGTTAGATCTGTTAATGGGGAAGCTATAGTACTATAGTTCTTAACAAACGGACGATAATAGCCCGTCATCCCCCAAAACGATCTGACCTCAGTAACAGTCTAAGGTCTAGGCCAGTCACGTATGCTGGCCACCTTCGCATCTTCCGGCCTCAATCCATCTGCTGAAATTTCATGACCCAAGTACAAGATCTTGGTGCGACCAAACTCGCATTTATCCAAGTTTACCTTGTACTAGTGTTGTCTTAGGAGACCTAGCACTGTTTTCAAGTGCTCAGCGTGCTCCTCTACAGTCCTACTAAAGATGAGAATATCGTCGAGGTACACGACAATAAACTTGTCTAAGTAGTCATGAAAAATCTTGTTCATCGCGTGCTGGAGCGTACCAGGCGCATTGCATAGGCCAAAAGGCATCACCAGAAACTCGTACAGACCGTACCTGGTCTGAAATGCGGTTTTGTGCTGATCCTCAGGTCTAACGGCAATTTGATGGTACCCGAACTTCAAATTTATCTTTGCGAAGTACCGACATCCCTGCACTCTATCCAAGAGGTCGTCAATGCGGGGTAGGGGCTCCGCGTTCTTAACGGTGATGACATTATAGTCAATGCACATCCTTAATGGACCTCCCTTCTTTGGGACAAAGAACATTGGCGCACCGTAAGGGGAGGTACTAGGCCGTATCCATCCCTTCTCTGTGAGCTCCTTGAGCTGGCGGCGAAGCTCATCTAACTTCGCGGGAGACATCCTATAGATTCGTCCTCTAGGCACCTTGCTACCTGGGACAATCTCTATCGCATGTACAACCTCCCTTTCCACCACGCCTGTGGGCTCCTAAAAGGTATGAATATTGTGCGAAGACTCTTTTTATCTCTGGGGGTGTTTTAACGGTCTCCCCTTTTTCAGAGACAAAGACTAGATACATGCCCTACTCTTGATTCTGCTTATAGTAGTTATAAAATGATAAAGCACACATACACCCGTAGTTTTCTATTAGACTGCTAGCTTTATACTTCTGCAATCTAACCGTTCTACCATTGGGCAGTTTGTGAATGAACACCTTTCTATCCCAGTCAAACTGAGGTTTCGAGACTTCGAGGTAGTATATGCCTAGTAGCATATCGAATGGCAGTTCGTCGCTCACCAGGAAAGAGATCTTGTGGATCACTTCCCCTCCTCCGTAGGAGAAGGTGTAGGCTACGTCCTTGACATAGTCCTTTACAACCATTTGGTGCTTGTTGGCTAGCGTAGAAGCTACAGTAGTCCTTTACAACCATTTGGTGTTTGTTGGCTAGCGTAGAAGCTACAGTTCTGCTAAGTCGCTGCACTTGGTCCCCTAAGCGCAGTCTATCCACACAAGCACGACTGATGAAATTTCGTGTAGAGCCTATGTCTGCGAAGGCGCCAACCTTGCGGCCACCTACATCTACTTCTACCACGAAATGTTCACCTTTTGGACCTCTACTGATCATCGCCCAAGAGTCCCTAGGGTCCTTCCCTGACCACTAAGTCTCTAACTCTTCTAGGGCCTTAGACACATCTCTCGAACAGAGTGTCGCTGGGTCTGAATGTGTCTGCGGGGCGATGTGTGGGTCACTAGCCTTGGCCAACGCCTGAAGTGGGGAAGGCAACGTTACCACTTCAGCACGAGTAAGAGCGGCTAACACTCCTACTGGCCCGAGGTGTTTCCTTGTGAGCTGCTCGCAGAAGCACTCCCAGGGTTCGATGATAAACCCACCACCATTGGTGAGGCCACCTTCGTTGTGACCTTCTTGTCGCGGCAAGTCCTGGACGTGTGGCCGTAGTTGCCACAGTTCATGCATGTACCCCTAGCAACGCGGTCACGCCACACCTCGTAATCCAAACCAAGCTTTACCCATGCGGGTGTCCCTTGGTCGCCCTGACCCGTGGACCATCCTACCTTCTTCTTCCCGGTCCCCCTAGCCTTTTCCTTGATGGGCGCCACGACTCCCCCATCCGAAGTCTCGCTGGCCCCATCCTGCTCTGTCAACTCCTTAAGGTCTGGGAATTCGTCAATTTCTGTCGTTTGACCATCATGGTCAACGAACATTAACTGACCTTTCTTCTCCCAGTCCTGGGGTAGTCTCTTCCTACCATCATGAGATACCTTATGCGCAGACCCCAACTTTGCCTCTATGTCCAGAGCTTTCTTACTAAAAGAAGCGAAGGTGTGCTGTTCGACATAGGCCTCATCAACCAGCTTGGTCCTTACCTCTGCAGGTAGGCACCTTAGGTAATCCGTCAGGAGAACCTGCTGGTCAAAACGCACACCAGGTACCACGAGAAGGCATTCTACGGTGTCCGTAAGCTCTCTAACATCCTTGAACCTGCGGGAACAAAGGTTGTTGATAGCATCGGTGGCCTTTTGAGCCCCTTGCGGGTCATGCCACCTATTGTAGACAGACCGTACGAACTGTTCCAATGTCTGAGCCTGAGCCCAGGCATCGAAATCCTGATCGTAGCCCTGCTGCTGCACTAAGCCATTCAACCAGCGCGCTGCTGACCCTTCTAGAAAAGAGGCAGCCACAACAACTTCTTGCTCTGGCCTTGTGAGCTTGTGCCTCACATAAGTAGGCACAGTCCTCACCCAGGTGTCCAAGTCCTCCTCCTTCTTTCTATCTCCAGAGAAGGGCTTGGGACTCATCAGAGGTATCTTAGGCATCCACTGCATAGGCTGCATGGGCCCAGGGGCTTGCTGCAGCTGCTGCATAGCCACTGAAACAGGCTGCTGCACACTAACCTGGGCCTGGCTTGACAGTGGGACTGTAGTTACCACTATCGTGGATGGTACAACTGAGACTCTTTGAACAGGACCACTAGTTGCTGCTAAACCACCTGGAGGGGGCATGCCAAACATAGGAGAGAAGGTTTGCCCTGTGTGTGGCGGCATCCATGATGGACCCGCATTCGCAGGGGGAATTACAACAAACTGTGGCTGCCTCGCCGCTGTGCGAGGAGCCCGAAGTTCAGCCAGGATTTGTTTCTGGCCTGCCACCAAATCAGCCAGCAATTCCTGCTGGACGTTCTGCGCTTCAGCTACCGAAAGTAAAGCATTACGCAGCGCACGACCAGCAGGGTCTAAAGCTGCCTCATCTAGTGCTTCCAGTCTGCCTAGCTCCTGCATTCTACTCCCTAGTCTAGCCTTCCTAAGTATGGTTTTTCTTCTACTCTCTGCTGCATCGTTCAACTGCCGTTGTAGCTCATCCTGAAGTTCTTCTGCTTGCCGAATTTCTAAATCCTCCGGCGTGAGTTGAGTTTGATGGCTGACTCGCACGGCAGCAATCTGACTAGTGGAAACCTGAGAACCACTCTGACTAGTGGAGGACTGTGTAGAGACTTGCGACATGGCTGAGGTAGCCATGGTTGCGCCGGTACTAGCTGAGACTCTAGTCTGGGCACTATCCTCAGCTGCCCTCGCTCTCCTTGCCGCTGCCCTCTCTCTAGCCTCTCTCCGCAATCTTCTCTTCTCCTGGACCTAACTCCAAGAATGTCAAGGGTCGACTACGAGCAGCCCCGCGAGTTGTCCTACGGTCGTCCACTAGCAACTCCTCCTCACTAGTGCTTGCATCACTCATGAGCTACAGTGTGTGTGATCTAAACTAGAATCCACATTGAATCCTACCTTAGCCTGACACACAACCGAGGATATATTAATTCTATTTTTAGATTACCCTGGAACAGATTACACTACAACAAAGATCTAATCTGTCTGTAGTTGTCTGTCAGTTGTTAGCGAAGTCTGTCACAACTAGATAATCAAAATAAAAATAACATCTCCTGTTGGAGATGTATACTGGATGGTAGATTGATAGTTGATTGCCACTGTGAACAGTTACCGGAATCCCCCCTCCCCCTGTATTCTTCTTGAGTGGTCACTTTGTGTCAACGTTCCTGAGCATCTGGTTGAGCAGCGTGTCTAAAGGTGTGCAATCCGGCCCACCCCTGTGCCCCAAGTCATTGCCGAACAAGCCAGCCTGTCCACTCTTATTTACCCTCGTACGGAACGAGCCTTACACCCGGTTGATCTGGCTGATCAGGAGGAATTTTAAAAGAGCCCCCATCTCCTCAGGAATTATTTAACATCGCAGTCAGGACGACGATCACAGCCAGATTCAATCCCAGTCCCCATCCAGAAATATTTATAGACGGTCTGGTAAGTGTCTCATAAAAGGCTGGCATGCCCGGCACGACCTCTATTGCGCAAGCAGCAGAACCAAGGACTTGCTGCAAAGCATGCGTGTACTAGTCCCAGCGGTTTGGCATGGTGACCGTGACCCGAGTGCTTCGTCCAGGGCCCTTCAGAGGCTTCACCCGTCTCCCACCAGCTTGTTGCCCAGAAAGAATGTCGACTCTCAAGGTTGAGCACTCGCGACACCTCACACTGAGAGGACCCTCAAGACAAAACTCACTTCCTCACGGTAAGAAGAGATGAAGAGGGTAGATAAGGAAGAGAGCAACGTACCTCATTAATGCTGCCCCCAACCACAGATTTCTCACCGGTAACCTGATGTGCAATTATGATGACCGGTCTTTGCCTCAGCACAACCAACAGCAGAATGCGGTTCCACTTCGGCTTAATATGCCACATCAGCGAGTTCTCATCATCCAGCATACACCCTGTATGTCACCACATAGCTCCCTGGCGCGCCCAAACAACCCTGGGCCGCTTAACGTTCAATGCCAATGCCTTATCACTGCCCCACACCTCATGTGAAGCACCAATAGCTATTGCGAAAAACCAATGAAGCGCAATATGAACCACTCCGATACCAAATTGCAAGGAAAATAAGCAACAGCGAGATGACAATTCCAGTTCACACCATCACATTGAAAGCCAGATAGTCACACTGTGTCCAGAGAGCAGCATTGCACCAATAATACACCAATGGAAGTTCGTAGCACTGAAAACCAATGTTCATGGAGAGCAAACTCTCTCCCCTCAACACAAGAGTCYAGTTCCTTCACACTCACACTTGGCGCTCAGCGCCCAGCCTGCTCYTACACARYTACYACAGACTACAAAAAGACAATGCAACTGTTRRCATCAGCGGCAGCCCGAAGTACTTGAAGATGTCGCCCATGCAGACCATCGCCAATACAAGGTAAGTGCCCTCACATCATCATCATCATCATCATCATCATCATCCTTCACCTATCCCCTGTCTACACCCACACCTGTCCTCTCTTTGACCCGAAGACCACCCCTGCGCTTCACTGTWGTCCAAGCCCACCAGCTATGGTGGCTGGGCTATGGCGCTGCCCTCAGCAGCGCCCTCCTCCTCTGCACGACTGCACGTGCTGCACCTCGCCTCTCAGCGCTAGCAGCAGCCTACGAGCATGAGCTCCAGCAGCGCTGCCGCCAGCATGCGAGTGCCTGAATGAGGTCCTTTATGGAAAAGAGCTGGTCAGCTCTCGCAGCCTGGCTGGGCTGGCCTGGGTCCAGAAGCTTCCGGAAGGCCCCAGGAGGCTGCCTAGATGCAGCAGCTACTGGGCTGCTGGGCCTCGTTCGGTTGGGCGCCCAACTGCCCCTGTATGAGGCTGCGAATCACGCCCAGGGCCTGCATTCTTTGGAAAGGCCCGGTAGGCCGTGGAAATGTCTTCGGTGCTCGGCCTGTGTTTTTTTCAACCAACTGGCGTGTCGCAACTGCCTGGACCCCAAATATGAAATTGACAGTCGAGGGCCTCTTGCAAAAAGCCAGGCCCGCCTTCACTTAGGGCGGGCACCTCCGCCTTCACTTAGGGCGGGTAAGGCTGCAAACAGGNTCAACCAACTGGCGCGTCGCAACTGCCTGGACCCCAAATATGAAATTGACAGTCGAGGGCCTCTTGCAAAAAGCCAGGCCCGCCTTCACTTAGGGCGGGCACCTCCGCCTTCACTTAGGGCGGGTAAGGCTGCAAACAGGGCCCCATAGGCCTACCGAGGACCCTGATCCTCACATTTTTTTGTTCTGTTTTTTAATTTTCTAATTTATTTATTATTTAGTATATGATATTATAGGAGGAAGGGCGGGAGGATAGAAGCTGTGTGTGTGTGTGTGTGTGTGTGTGTGTGTGTGTGTGTGTGTGTGTGTGTCTTAACTTTATTTTCGCAGCTCAACAGATTCCATGCCAAAAGAGAGCGGGTTTTACTGTTCAAGTGCTTCCCTACATTGCTCGGATCCCTCTGTGAGAGTGCAGTGCAGGGATTGGACTCCAACACTGACCAGAAAACAAGGCCGCTAACGAAAACAACAAGGGATCTCCTTTGCCTGGACTGTCAAGGGGTTGTGCCTCAGGGATTCTCCACTGAGGGCGTACTCACACTAGCACTACCTTAAATGTATCGCGCGGATTCTCACGGCATTTACGGCCGGAGTGGGATGAATCTGACCGCCATTACTTCCAGAAATAAGTAAGAAAGTCCCAGTGTGAGTATGCCCTCATAGTGGCTCTGTCACAGATGTAATGGCTAAACCATGGCTACAATAACAGCTATGCTTGTGCTGGCCGTCATGGCCATCATGGCTATGTCCCGTCAATGCTATGGCTATACCATGGCTATGTCAAGGGTGTGTTGGATAGAAGTCCCACTTGCATCTGCTCGATACGAAGGCATGGTTATGACTCAGTTACATGATGAACATACAATTCACAGAAGTGGCAATGGACGAAATGGAGTCTTCAAGCTTGAAATAAAGACCTTCCGATCCTCCATCCCTTCTCCCAGCCCCACCTCTCCGACGCCTCTTTTTGTCATTCGATATAATCCAAGAGTGCTCAACCTGGCTGACCTTCCTTTTTTTTCTTCCCTTTTTAACAGTACACGGCCTTATGGTCCTAGAGTGTCAGTTGGGTTCTGCCCAAGCCAAGCAAGGAATGCTCAAGGATAGGATGCTCAACGCAACTTGCTCCCGGTTAGCAAAGCTCAATGTCATTGTCAATGGACCGGACTGATGTGGAATAACTCAAGTGCTCTGCAAAACTTTCTTTCAGGATGCAGACTGAAGAAGCGGCTGAGCGCGTATATACGAGGGGCTGGGAGAGTCCCTCGGGACATCCGTGCAATAACCCATGCAGTATGCCTCGTGGAATGTCTGAGGGCCTTGCCAGGCCGCACTCAGACCCAGGCCGAACGGGGAAAAGAACCCCACGTAAAGATTCAGGGCCTGGACGAGTGACAGTTGACTAAAATCAACTGTCGGACGCCCAACAGTCAAAGTCAAGGAGTATCCAGCCCAGGCCGCCGGTCAGACGCACACACTTGTTTGCATGCAGGTACCCAGACGGCATCAGGACCAAACTGTATGCAATCCAGGCCCTCGGCTGCGAGTCAATCTGGACGACTGTGGGTGGGGGACCTGAGGCCAGACAGCCTCGTCAAATGCTACATAAGGCTTGGTCTCCAGGTGGTCAACATTCAGTCTTGCTATGATGCCTCGACGCAGGCTTGACTCTGGCTGGTCGCTGGCTTGACGCTGGCTGGACGCTAGTACTGAGGACGACGATGCGGGACTGTGGTAGCATGCTGGCGCATTCTGTTCTGTGCGCCAGACATTGCTGACGTGGCGCTGCCACCTATCTACATGGCTGATGTGGTGCATGCCACCTGTCTACATTGCTGATGTGGCGCATGCCACCTGTCTACATTGCTGATGTGGCGCATGCCACTTGTCTACATTGCTGATGTGGTGCTGCCACCAGTCTACATTGCATTGCTGATGTGGTGTTGTCACCTGTCTTCATTGTTGATGTGGTACATGCCACCTGTCTCTATTGTTGACGTGGCATTGGCCATGCTGTCTACATGAAAGAGGGTGAATCAAGGAGTGGTGGGGCGCAGCGCTACCGGGAGCGTTGTGCCCCGGCAGCATCAATCAAGGTCACCACGGAGAGGAGCCGCGCGCGTCGGGTAACAGCATGCAGCAAGGAAAATAGCGCGCGCGCACTCGAGGATTGCGCGCGATTGTGCGCGCGCCCTGAGCTGAAACTTGGACCACCGGGGGTCTACGCTGAGGAGCAGAGGTGGTCCAAATTTCAAACCGAACGGTCCAGCGGATCACGAGATATCGAAGTTTTAGGGCGCGCCATGGAAGTCGAGCGTGTGGACCCTTCTCCTTTCGACATCCTTTTTTTCCCTTTCTGCACGTGTTTGCTGATTAAGGCGCCACAAGGAGAGCGGCTGGAGATGACGACATAGGATGCATGGTCTCCTCTGTCTACTTTCATCTGCCCTTTGAAGCGGTGGACTCAAGTCTCTGCGGTAAGCTTGAACTCCCTGGGGTGGCTCGTTGGCAGGCTCAACGAGATGTTGCCCCACCATCCCAATGTTGGAGAAGTTTAGGGGGAAGGCCGATTGGTACCTTCGTTTGTCTGTGTTGGGTTATGGCAGGCCCTTGAGGCTGGTAGGGCAGGTAGATGGAGGGAGTTTTGTTCTTCCCTCCCGGAGGTGAAGGGGTTGGGTTTGAGTGAGGTTGGATGAAGAGGAGACATAGGG